TGCTGCTTAAGCCGTCTGACTTCAGCTCTGACCTCACTACTGCACACTTACACATAAACACATCAGTTCCTGATATTAAACCCAAACTCTCAGCAATATGTGTTTAATAACAGCTACACTGATTGTTGTTTCTCTGTTACTGCATGTCATGTTTTTCCTGTTATTTTGTTAGCAATATCTACAGAGGATGAAACACTAAATATGCTAATTAATAAAAATGATTTCACATATTCCATATTGTCCATATTGTCTTTTTGCCGCTGCTATGGAAACATAAATAGATGACAAATGTCCATATTCTGGTAAATGGAGAAAACTCATTTCTGGCTTTTAGAAAGACTTCAGTATTAAATAACAACAGATAATCAATACGGTTATAAAAGTAAACGCAGTTATTTATAGTAAATATAACCAACAGAACATTAAAGTTTTTATGTGTTTTCGATGCACTGAGAATGTTTGACAGATAAAAATCATAGGTTGTTAATTAAAATATAAAGTTGAGGGTCCCTGCAGGTTTAATTAGAATCAGACATTATTGGTGTTTTTATTAATCTATGCAAGTTAAGGGTTTGTATGGAGTTAATTTTGTTACAATATTATTGCAAGCATAGAAAATTTTTATTTAAATGTAAGTTTAAAGAAAATACACATGTAAATTTAATTTTGAGAAAACAAAAATATAATTCATTAACAGAACTTTGAGGAAAAAAACAATGTTTCAATTAAAACATTTTTGAAAGTAACTTTGATGTCTTTTCCTATTCTTTTTTTTATATTATTTTTAAGGATTTTTCCTCATTTTATTCTTTGTAAATGTTACATTTTCTTATTTTTTTATCCGTTTTTCAAATTTCTGTCTTTCATGCTAAGTTTTATGAATCCAATGCTTTTCAAATTATCTTTCACACCCTCCTGACTTTAAGCCCAATCCAAACACTCCCACTTCACACTCACATGGACCGAGTCATGAGTAACATTCCAACTTTAAGCCTTGCTAAGAAACGTTACACATAAAAATGTGCAGCTTAGAAGTATTATCCGATGCAGGTCCAGGAGATTCTGCAACAGCTTCTTCCCCGCTGCCATTAGACCGCTGAATGTTGAATAAAATAGGGGGGGGAAAAAGTGCCGATTGTTGGAAAAACTGTAAATCATATCTCAGTCTTATGTTTACATTTGATCTCCGCTGCACTTTAAGAAATTAAAATGTCTTACGAGCTATGCAGAACAAAGTTTCGTTTGGTATACACACTGTGTTTACAAAATGACAATAAATTCTGTCTAAGTCTAATTAAATAACTTTACGGTAAAAGCTCTGTTAACTGGTTACCTCAAGCTTTTTAAAATATTTAAAAACTTTTATTTTTATTAAAAAAAAAGAAAAAAGAAAATGAAAAACAATCCACTGGACTTTGTTTCCAAGTTTGAAGACGCTTCGCTTCCCATCCAGGAAGCTTTTCAATTCAAAATGTCAGGAAAAGCATTTAGTTTGAGGTTTATTAACTGCAGCCCAACAAAGCCTGGTTTTTGTTTAGACCTGGATGACTGAGAACCTTCACCAGCACACTTCAAAACTGAGTTTCATGATGGATCATTTTAAGGTTATTTTTTTTATAGTTTGATTATTGTTTTTTTTCCTCTAATTGCACCGACTACTTTCTGTCTGGAAATAAATAAAGCCAATAAACTCTGCGGTTGGTTGTGTGTCTAACCTAGGCCGTTGTGAACCACGTTGGTTAGTCTAACTGGGTCAGTTAAGTTCACGGCAGAACTCTCGTAAGGAGAGTTTATAATGATAAGATGCCATATTCATAGTCTTTTAAACTTGACTTTTAAAACACCATATTCCCCACCCAAGATACAAAAGGAGGCAAATAATGTATCCTAGAGAAATGAAAACAGATCAAAGTCATAAAGCTACTGCTTGAACTTATATCTTTGTTGTTTTATTCTTGTTTTTAAAGTTATCTTCTTTTATTTTCACACATCTACATCTAGAAGTTGATATGGGGTATTCTTAGTTTAAAAACTTAAATCTCTAGTTTTGACCTTCTGCTCTTTGGGACATCCAGCCTGTAGGGCAGAGGTCACGGATTAGCGGAACGCGGTCCAGACCATCCTGCTGGCTAATCCGGACCCAACCTGATTCAAAATGTTTATAAATTACCACATGAAGTCCAAGGACAGTGTCTAATTTCACTTGCGCCGCTTCTCCTGTTAATACGGTAAAGCTCTCCAGTGTGTCCAGCACCAGGCTGCATGTGATACAGATGATCCAATGAGCTGCTGTCAGTCTGGGTTGCTGCTGCTGCTACTTTTAGACCCAGCAGGCAAACCTGTGGCAAGCCGGGCGATGAGAAAGAAAGAGAAGATGATGAGAAAAAGAGAGCAGAGAAAATGTGGACTGCTGGAAGAACTGTGGTGAACTGGTGAAAGAAAAGTGAAATGGTGCTCAAAGATGACCCTGCACATTTAGAGGATGTTTGGTTCAACCTGCTGCTGTGAAGAAGGATTCTCCACCATGAACAGAATCAAAAATAAAATATGGATCCAGGCTCAAAATGAGCTCCTTGATATGTGCTTTAGAATGACTTAGTCTCCATTCAAACCCAGGTTTAAAGCCTTGCAGGGCAGCATAAAGCCCATTGCCAACATTAAGACAGAAAACAGAAAAATAAACGGTCAGTTCAGGTGTTTTATAAAATATGTGAATCAGGAAATGATCTAAATACCAAAAGGAAAGATTGTTGTTCTCTAATTCAATAAACACTTTAGATTATAAAATGGATTTATATATTTTTATTTAAAAAGTCAATGTATAAAATGGATGCATAAAAACCTCATTTTATTATTTGTTCAAATCTGTTTAAAAAAACAGGTTTAGAGGCTCATAATTTGCCTTCAGAGGCGAATGATTTCCAGGTTCTTCACATATGCCCTAACTTATCAGATGAGTTTATTTAATTGGTTTGTTGTCTTCAAATCAACTGAAATGTTTAAATATGATAAATAAAATCCTCCTCCTGTTAGGATGACCCCACTAAGTGTGCAGCTGTCCCTTTCGTGTTTCTCTGACATTTAACGCGACAGCTCATCACTTAATCCTGAGGATCATAACAATCATGGGTTTGGTCTGAACCATCAGAAGTCATCATCTGTGACTGCAAAAACTAAACAAAATAAACATCCAATTAGGCCTTCCTTTCCCTGGGAACCCCCCTTTCTTATGGACCCCCAGAGGTCTCCATGTGTGAACACTGGAAGATACCCAGCTGTCAGAATAATAGCAGCGACAGGAGGCGTGCATGGGGATTTCATGGACTTAATTAGAGTGGAACAAGACTCCAGACAGACTACAGCCACCAGCAGCCTGCCGGTCTCCATAAAACCCAGGAGTGGTGCTTGAAGAAGCCACTTAGATGATGTAACAACACACTTCCAAACATGAGGGGCTTCACCTGAGCCTTTATCAAGAAGTGATTGCAAATGTCCAACGGCTCAGAATCAGAGAGGCAGAGGTGTGGATTATTGAGCGAGTGTCTGCGAGCGTAGCTGCTGCTGCTGTTCCGTCCTGTTCATAAATCCATTACAGTCCTGCCTGTGTCTGCAGATAAAGGAGGAAACTCATGTTTCTTTAAATTAGAGGGGACTTGTTTTGAAGACATTCCAGGACAGGAATGGGATGCCAGAAGGCTGGAAATGATTCACTCTGAATTCCTACATGGTTTAAATATTGGATTTCAACTCAGAGGAGATTTTCTTTATATATACAGCCTCCAAGGATGGATGGATGGATGGATGGATGGATGGATGGATGGATGGATGGATGGATGGATGGATGGATGGATGGATGGATGGATGGAGCAGTGGGAAATGGATGGATGGATGGATGGATGGATGGATGGATGGATGGATGGATGGATGGATGGATGGATGGATGGAGCAGTGGGAAATGGATGGATGGATGGATGGATGGATGGATGGATGGATGGATGGATGGATGGATGGACGGATGGAGCAGTGGGAAATGGATGGATGGATGGATGGATGGATGGATGGATGGATGGATGGATGGATGGATGGATGGATGGATGGATGGACGGATGGAGCAGTGGGAAATGGATGGATGGATGGATGGAGCAGTGGGAAATGGATGGATGGATGGATGGATGGATGGATGGATGGATGGATGGATGGATGGATGGATGGATGGATGGAGCAGTGGGAAATGGATGGATGGAGCAGTGGGAAATGGATGGATGGATGGATGGATGGATGGATGGATGGATGGATGGATGGATGGATGGATGGAGCAGTGGGAAATGGATGGATGGAGCAGTGGGAAATGGATGGATGGATGGATGGATGGATGGATGGATGGATGGATGGATGGATGGATGGATGGATGGATGGATGGAGCAGTGGGAAATGGATGGATGGATGGATGGATGGATGGATGGATGGATGGATGGATGGATGGATGGATGGATGGATGGATGGATGGATCGGTGGGAAATGGATGGATGGATGGATGGATGGATGGATGGATGGATGGATGGATGGATGGATGGAGCAGTGGGAAATGGATGGATGGATGGATGGATGGATGGATGGATGGATGGATGGATGGATGGATGGATGGATGGATGGATGGATGGATGGATGGATGGAGCAGTGGGAAATGGATGGATGGATGGATGGATGGATGGATGGATGGATGGGAAATTCCAAATCTATGGATCCATATGTTTCCACTAAAATGTCTCTAAACTGAGAAGGAACGTTTGTAACTATTCTCAAACTTTATTAAATCTACTCGAACTTAGGTACCAATAACAAGTTTTTGTTCCAGTTTCTCTCATTTCTGCACATTCAGCTCCGCAGCAGTGAAACCAAGCATTGGAACAGACCTCCACTTATTTCAGGAGTATCCATGCTTTGCATTCCTAGCGCCGCAGCTGAGCCCCGGCTCTCGGTGCTCCTGCTCCGGTCCTTACCTTGCTCCAGCAGCCGCAGGGAGTGCTGGAAGGACGGGTCCAGCGTGTCCTTCTCCGCCTGAAGCTCCGGTAGGTACTTCTCGCTCTCCATCTCGTCCAAAGCTTCTCAGGTTCCAAACAAGCGAGTGAAATACGCAGCAGATTTAAACAGGAAAAAGTTGCTCACGGTCCAAACAGGAATGAAGGTAAAAATAAAGGCTCCAAAGTTGATTTTCTGAGAGGCGAACCCGTGTGCGCTCGCGCTAGAAGAGCATGGTGAAGCTTCGCGGAGCACGCGCTCTCTCTCCTCTCCTAAAGCGGTTGATGTTGAAGCAGCGGTTGTTGGTTTCACTCCATCAGTGATGCTCAGCCCGGCTGCTCCGCTCCTCTGTCGGTCGTCAGGCTCTCTGAAGCTCCTCTGTTCGGTCCGCAGCTGAAGTGAGGCAGAGGCGGGAGCGCGCAGCCTGTGGGGGAGGGGGCGGGGCCTCACCGGGAGCTGTCCGCGGTGCTGATCGAAATCATTAGCATCTCATTATCAGTCACTCACCGAGTTTCTAACTGGTCAAAGAAGCTTACACCTTCACTATTATAAAATCTCTTTTGCTTCCCTTCAGCAGATATATAAATATATATAGTACCTTAGTAAAAATATTTAAATCCTTTAAACATTGTTTTTTTTTATCACAAACACAAACTTCTACTTGTTTTGCAACCAGCACTCATTTTTTCATTTAAAAAAAATTGTTTTTAAGTTCTTATATCTTCGATTTATTTTCCACAGTTTTCTGCTTTTCAAATTAAGTTTTACGAATTGCAATATTCTAATAGGTTTTCCACATAACATTATTGTAAAGTCTGGGGGCGGATTTTCCTCTATATCAAGGGCAAACAATAAAAAATCAGCAGGGTCCAAATAGAGAAAATCAACAACCATTAAAGGTCTGGAGACATTTTTAATTATAATCTGTTACCTAAAACAGAATTTAACAAATAATAAAATGAGGTGTTATGCATCCATGTTGTTATACATTGACTTTCTAAATGAAAAATTTTAAAATCTAAAGTGTTTTGAAGTAAAGAACAACAGTCTTTCAGTTTGGTATATCCTGATTCAGATATTTTATAAAACATCATTTGTTTTTGTTTTTTTGTTTGTTTTTTTATTTTATGGCTTAATGAAAGCAGTGGGCTTTGGGCTACCTTGCAAGTTTATTCAATATTTATTTCTGATTCTGTTCATGGTGGAGAATCCTGCTTCACAGCAGCAGGTTGAGCCAAACATCCTCTAAATGTGCAGGGTCATCTTTGAGCACCATTTCACTTTTCTTTCACCAGTTCACCACAGTTCTTCCAGCAGTCCACACTTTCTCTGCTCTCTCCCGGCTTGCCACAGGTTTGCCTGCTGTGTCTAAAAGTAGCAACAGCAGCAACCCAGACTGACAGCAGCTCATCGGCTGATTTCTATCACGTGCAGCCTGGTGCCTGACGCTGCAGAGGGCCTCACCATATTAACAGGAGAAGCAGCGCAAGGGTAATTAGACACAGCCATGGGACAACATGCAGTAATTTATTAATGTTTTAAATCAGGTTGGGACCGGATTGACCAAATTCGGTCTGCTGTTCGCTAATCCATGACCTCTGGTATAGAGTGAGGAGTGAAGACAAATTGCTATTGGTCAAACGTGAGTATACTGTATGTACTGGGATTAAAGGGAAGAAAATAAAATAAATAAATGCAATTTCAAACAAATGTAATTTGTAAAACTCAATATCAAAAGCATTAAATCTGAAAGAAAAAGAAAAAAAAAGGATCAAATAAAACTTGAGATTTAGATTACATGGAAAAACACAATCCGAGTAAACAGCAAAGGTATTAGTAAATCTTTTTTTTTTATTAGAACACTGTCAAAGTTCAATTTCTGGATTTATTTCGTATTTACTTCCATTTAAAATATGTGTTTTTTGCTTTTTATGGTTTCAGCTGTAGAAGACTTTTTTTTTTACTTAATCTGATCTAATGCGCCGCAAGATCAAAACAATCTAAGTATTCATTGCCCTCCACACTAAATAGATGCCTGGAAAACTTGCAAAACTCTGATCCTAAATGTAATCATTTGTTGCAAAGGACAGAGGTAAATATACAGTAGTGTGGTGGACAGAGAAAAGGTGTTTTGTTTTTTTTAAAGAAAATGAAGTTTGAATAAATTCCCAGGAGACCATATGAGGCAGATAACAAATGGAGACACAGTGCTGCTGCTGCAGCTGCTGCTGTGCACCATTTTAACTTAAACTAATAAAACCAGTTGAAGTACATTTTGAAACACAGCCCCACTGGGTAACATTAAGTAATAATGCAGAATAATATTATATTGTATGTAGTTCTTTACGGGGAAAATCAAATAAAGAACAATGTTTATTTCATTGGGAGAGCATCCAGGAGTGGAGTCTGGGAGACTGAGGAGTTGATTTAATCAGTGTCAGAGGTTAAGAGCTGTATGGTACTTTTCATGCTTTTTTTTTTATTTATTTACTGTAAATAAATCATTTATCAGCTTTAGAATGCACTAATCTGACAGGATAGCTGGTATATATTAAATAAAACCAACTGCTGTTTGCAGCCAAAAAGTCAGGTAGTAAAACAACCAACAAATCGGCAGTCATCCTTTAAAAGCAGAAAGCTTTTAACTCATGATAATATTTAGCAAACAATTTAACCAGCTCTACTTTTGACCCATTTCCATCATTAATAGACTTGAATACAGGAGAAATCGCCCGGGACATCTAGAGCAACGCTGCCAGTGCGGAAAAAGACACATAAGTCAGTGATGAGTAACAGACACGTGTTGACTCACCAGGCATTTATTGATTTAGGACAAACATGGATTACATTCTGCATTTTTTTGCATATTATTACAACAGAAATAAACATAAGGAGTAGGCATGACTATGACCTCTGGTAAGTACTAACAGACCCCCAACAACGGACAAGTATTTATTTAAGGAGCCTTTTTGTCCAATTCAGTTCAATTCAGTTTATTTTAATTCACAACATGTCATCTCAAGGCACTTTACAATTCAACCAGATCATCCAGTCAAATTGATGCAGAGTTTTCTCTCTAAGGAAAACCAGTTATTTGCGTCGACTCATTTACTCGAAAGCAATCCCTCACACTAAGCATGCTTGTAGCGAAAGTGGAGAGGAAAAACTTCCTTTTAACAGGAAGAAATCTCCAGCAGAACCAGGCTCAGTGTGAGCGGCCATCTGCTGAGGCTGACTGGGGTTCAAGGAGACAGAATCAGAATCAGGTTTATTGCCATTGTTAGTGAAGGAGTTCACAAACTAGGAATTTTTTATGGTACAATTGTGCAACATGAAACATATAATATGGAATAGGTAAATAAAATTATAAAAAATATCTAAAACATTGTGGGTATAAGGCATGCAATAAAATAGATACACTTAGGATAAAAATATGGATATAAAATATAAAAAGTAAAATAAAAGTAAAATAGCATCTTACAAGGTAGTGCAAATAGAGCAGTGTAAATGGCATGGGCAGGTTATAGAGTCTGACATATAGTTAGGTGTTCATGAGTCTTATGGCAGAGGGGAAGAAGCTGTTTTTATGGCGGGAGGTTCTGGTCCGTATGGACCGTAGCCTCCTCCCTAAGGGGAGAGGTTCAAACAGTCTGTGTCCAGGGTGAGAAGGGTCGGCTGTGATGCAACCTGCATGCCTCCTGGTCCTGGAGACGTAGAGAAGTAGAGATACAAAAAGAAGCAGAGATACAAAAGACAACTGTCAACCAGCTCCACAGGCGGCCCCGTCCAGGAAACACACAGCCAGGCAGACAAGCTCTGAGCCAGCTCCCAAGTCAGAGGATGAAGAGAGCACATCCAGCCAGTCACAGTCAGAGAAACAGGACTACATCCTTAAAAACAGATTGATCTTTTTGTTAAATAGGATTTATATGTGGACTTTGTTTGATGTAAAACAGGCATGCATTTCAAGCTTTAAAAAGGAAGCAGTGGTCCGAATGTAGTTCTTTCTCAAATTAGCTGCAGACTTGGCTCTCCAACAGAAGTGGATTTCAAAGAGGCTCATTTTGCAAATCAAAATTTTTTTGAGGTTAACTTTTTCTCTGGAGTTTTGGATATCAGCCACAGTTCACAAACCTCCACCACTAACAGTTTAACGAGATGATAATTCATTCCTCTTTATTTCATGAAATCCAATGAAAAGTTTTATCATATCCTTTTGCTACAAAAAATATTAATTTATGCAGAACGGTGTGTAAGTTAAAATTTTATTAGCTTTTTTTTCTGGATTTCAAGTACTTAGATACAACTGGTTAACTGGTCTCCAGCTTTAGCGAGAGTCCCAGAAAAATGTTCTGACTTTAAACAAAGCAGCTACTTTTCAAACTTCCCCTACAAAAAAAGCTGTGCTACATCAACAGGAAGTGAAGGCATAAAGTTTAAATGATCATATTTCAATTGTTTTATACTGTGGTGTATTTTCAGTAGCAGCCATTCAAAATGGCCCTTCCGAGTCAAACGCAAAGAGAATGGCAGCAAACTTGCCTGCAGCTCCCAGCAAAATCCCCTCCAACTCCCAGCCACTGGAGTGACCCCCTTCTTCTCCTGGGAGTGCATATTATTGCATATTTTTTTACTCAGACTCCACCCTTTCACTGAATAAAATGGTCTGACCAAGAGATGGCGCTTCTGTTTAGATCTTAATCTCTACGAGTCATGACAGAAAGAATATTTTAGTCCAAGGATTGATGTTTAAAAAGGAATTGTCGGGGATCAGCCAAGGACCAGCAAAGGACCAGTGAAGGATCAGCCAATGATCAGCAAAGGATTAGCCAAGGACCAGCCAAGGATCAGCCAGCCAAGGACAAGCCAACGATCAGCAAAGGACCAAACAAGGATAAGCCAATGATCAGCCAAGACCAGTCAAGGATAAGCCAATGATTAGCAAAGGACCAGCCAGCCAAGGACAAGCCAATGACAAGCCAAGGACCAGTCAATGATCAGCAAAGGACCAGCCAAGGATCAGCCAATGATCAGCAAAGGACCAGCCAAGAATAAGCCAATGATCAGCCAAGGATCAGCAAAGGACCAGCAAACAGTCAGCCATGGACAAGCCAACAATGAGCCAAGTATCAGTCAAGGATCAGTCAAGGACCAGCCAAGGACATGCCAACGATCAGCCAATCACCAGCCAAGGACAAGCCAAAGATCAGCCAAGGACAAGCCAATGACAAGCCAAGGACAAGCCAATGACAAGCCAAGGACAAGTCAATGATCAGCAAAGGACCAGCCAATGATCATCAAAAGACCAGTGAAGGATCAGCCAATGATCAGCAAAGGACCAGCAAAGGATCAGCCAGCCAAGGACAAGCCAATGATCAGCAAAGGACCAGCCAAGAATAA